TGTCAATCACTTAAACCATCCGGGATGCCTTGTGACCCTAATGCACCAGGATGAACCACAGGGTACCGAACTCTGAAGTCTGCCGTATCTCAGAATTTCATATCCATTTGGAAATGATTTCAGATGCCACTCAAATCTCCTGCCAATGAACCACCCACTAAGTGCTGGATGCCGTGCCATATGCTAGGCCCAAGTGACCCACTGCACATAATTCACAACAGCTCTTTTGGCATAGATATTGAGATCACATTCTAGAAAAGCACCCCAGGATAGTGGGGCCTCAGCATGGACTCCAGAGCCAGACTGCTAATTCTAGCTCTGCCTCTACTTCTGCATCTTAGCAGCTGTGTGACCTGGGAAAAGTGAAAGCACCTCTCTGGGCTTTTGTTTCCCCATCTGTAAAATGGTACTAATGATAGGCTTACCTTAGAAGGCCCTAATGGGACTTCCCTGGCAGTCCAGAGGTTAAGACTCCATGCTTCCACTGCAGGGAGCGCAGGTTCGATCCCCGGTTGGGGAACTAAGACCCCACAAGCCGCGCGGCACAGCCAAAAACAAAAAGCCCTGATGAGGACCAGATGAGCAACAGAGTCAAAGGGCTTGGTTGGTACTGAGCCTGAGACACATTACTACCTAGTTTGATTTTAGAAATGAGAAAGCAGACACTCAGAGAAGTTACTAACATGCTGGAGGCTACACAGCACCTATGTGGCATGTAAGACAAGAATCGCGATGCTGGAGTGGTCACTTCTGTGAGCCAGGCCTTCTACTAAGACAACTAATGCTTACAACAATCCCTTGAGGCAGGGACTGTCAAGGTTCCCATTTTTTAAGTGAAGAAAGTAAGATTTAGGGCTTCCCTGGTGGCACAGTGGTTAAGAATCCGCCTGCCAATGCAGGGGGCACGGGTTCGAGCCCTGGTCCAGGAAGGTCCCACATGCCGCAGAGCAACTAGGACCGTGCGCCACAACTACTGAGCCTGCGTGCCACAACTACTGAAGCCTGCATGCCTAGAGCCCGTGCTCCGCAACAAGAAAAGCCACCAAAATAAGCCCATGCACTGCAATGAAGAGTAGCCCCTGCTCACCGCAACTAAAGAAAGCTCGCACGCAACAACAAAGACCCAACGCAACCAAAAATAAATAAATAAATTTTAAAAAAAGAAAAGAAAGTATGGTTTAGCAATGAGTCTATGGAATTACAGCTCTGGCATTGCTGATGGCACAGCCCCCATCTTGGGACCAAGGAGCTACGGCTTCAGGGTGGTTCCTGGGGTCCCAGACTGGCGAGGAAGGATGTGAGAGCTCCACGTGACCATCAGGGAGAGAGGCAGCTATGTGATAGAAAGGCAAGAGTTGTCATTATTACAATTATCAATTAATACTAATATGAGGACCTGGTGGGGGCCATTTGCAACAGGTGACATGAGTCAGAAAAGAGCTTCAGAGGTGACTCAAATACAGGGGTGACAGTCAAAGTATTCAACACAGCAACACCAGTCCAAATCCGTCCGTAAGCATAGAAATCAGAACAGTGGGTGCCTTGCAGTGAGGGTGAGGGAGTGCTGGCTGGAAAGGAGCTCGAAGGAACATCCTAGAATGATGGCAGTGCTGTCTTGATGGGGAGTTGGTTACACAGGTATTATACAGGTTACAAAATTCAAGGACTGTACACTTAAAAAAAATCTGTGCATTTTTCTGTATGTAATTAGATCTTAGTTTAAATGTCTATTTATGTGTATATATATAAATGTGTGTATTTAACCCCAGGTTAACATTTTAGCTGCTGGTTGGCCTGAGGTGCAGGGGGTTCCAGGGGCAGGGTCTCTCTGGGAGTTTGGGTTAGTGGCTATTTATTCACTGGAGCAGATACATCTCTATTTTAATAACCATTTTAACAACGAATATGGCCACAGAAGTGTGATCCACCCTGCTCAAATGTCTCAGCTTCCAGAGATCCTCCTGGGCTGCCCCCTGGTTTTATTATAACACCTCCATGCTCCCTCTTCCCTGCCTGCTTTATCTTCCTCCATAGCATGTCACCACCTAATATACTCTATGGTTTGCTTATTTATCTTCTTTATTGACTTCTCCAGCTTGATCATGAGCTCCATGAGGGCAGATCTGTCCGTCTTGCTCCCTGCTGTGTCCCCAGTGCTCCAAACAGTGCCAGGCCCTTAACAGATGCTCCACAGATATTTGGTAAATGACGAACAATATTATAATCTAAAGCTAACACTTACTCAGCACTTGCCATGGCCAAGCACTTGTAAGAATTCGTTTAATGTAAGAATTCATTTAATCCTCGAAACTGTCCTGTGAGGGAGGTGCTACCATCACTCCTGTTTCACATGTGGGGAACCTGAGTCTCAGAGCAATGCGCTTGCCCAAGGCCACACAGCTAGTCAGTGGCAGAGCCAGGATTCAAACTCAGTCCTGGCAGACCCCACAGGTGTTCAAAACCTGTGTTCACAGAAAGAGGGTGTGACCAGCAGGGAGACTCCATACATAGATGGTGCCAGAGTTCTAGAACCAGGGAGTGTCGGGCTGACGTGGGCCCTGGGTAGATGTGGGCATTCTAGGGCATTCTAGGGCAAGGAGTTTGTCTTTTCCAGAGCTGGGGCAGCAGGGTTTGTGGTGATGGGTAACTAGACGATACAGATAGTGGAGGTTCACATCTCAGAACTGTAGGGAAGGTGCACCACATACTGGAGAGGGTACTGGAGGTTCACAGCAGCGGCAAGGAGGGGCCTCTCAGACCCAGTGGGTAAGGACTATGGCAAAGGAGGGGCCTTTAGGATTGGGGTGTGAGCTACCCAAGATGTTGATCAGGCCATGGGGTTCTGGAATCGGAAGCACCTCGTTTAGAGGTAGAGATGAAAGGGAACGGTAAGGGGACTGAGTTCTAGAAAGTGGGGTGAAAGTTGTGTTTGTGGGTGTGGGGAGAGTGGGAAGGGCTTCCAGGAAGTGGGTACAAGAGGTAAATGGCAGTTCCCAGTAGGTGAGGTTGAGGATCCCGGAAGTGAGCCATAGAGAACCCAGAAATGGCTTTAAGGGGTCCCGAAGTAGACACCAAAATTCCCAGAAGGGGTGACAGGATCCCAGAAGTGGGACCACCAGGATGTCGGAAGGGAGCCTCAGGCATCCCGGAAGCAGGTAACTCGATTCCCGGAAGGAAACCAAGCCGCAGCCCTCCTCACCCAGAAACGGGACAGATGCCTTTTCCAAGAGCGCAGTCCGGAGAGATAGATCTCCTGCAACATCGGGGCACTGAGCTCCACTTCTCCCGCGTCCGAAGTCAGCGAGGGTCGGAAGCCCACGGCCTGGTGCGCTTCAGCCATGTCACGCTACAGCCCTGGGAGGAGGACAGAGGGTCATTCTCCAGACCCCCGGCCCCTTCTCCGCAGACCCAGGAATATAGGACGCCAGCTCACCCCTTCCCTAACCACCTGAGGGGTCTTGAGGATCCTGGACGAAAGGCTCCGGTATTGGGAGGACTTCAGCTGGGGACCTCTGTGAACGCACAGAAAGGCAGGAGGGATAATTTGCGGGATAATAGCCCTTTTGCGGCTATTCTGAGAACATGGTGCGGGGACAGTGCCCCCCCCCCACGCAAGGGCCTTTCAAGATTCGGGGTTCGGGGCGGGAAACCGGTCCAGCGTGAGTTGCGGGATCTCGGGAAAAACATTAGTCCCAAACCCATTTGAAATGAACACCTGCCGGGGGTTGGCATTGTCCACTCCATTTCCGCTTTCCATTCCAAGGCTGGGGCTGGGGGGTGGGAGTGAGGGGGGAGTTGGGTGGGGGTTCTCTATAAATTCATACGCTCTGGGGTAGCCCAGCGTCCCCTCCCCCCGCCCCCGGGCTGAAGGGGATGCGGTGTGGGGGGGGAAGCACCCTACTGCGCATGCCTCGCGGGCAGGGATGCAGAGGCTGAGAGCAGAGGCGAGCGTCGAGGACAAGTGATGGAGAGGCCCGCACTCCCAACCCAAGACACAATCCTCCAGCCCCCGCAGGAGCTCGGGCCCCTCCAGTCCGGCACTTACCACGCTGAGTCAGGGGTCCGCCGATCGGATCCTGGAGACCAAGCCCGAGTACACCGCCCCGGCCCCCGATTTAGAGCGCCGGACTCAAGCCTCCCACTTGCATATGCCCAATCCCAGTGACTATGAGTCCAAGACTTGGTCGATGGGCCTCCGGAGCACCTGTCCGCCTCCAACTATCCAACATTCAGGAACCCGGATTTCTGCCTAACGGGTGCCTCGCCGGGTATTCAAGTCCCAGGTTTTAACCCCGCCCCCTTCCAATCTTCTATCCCCGCGCTCAGTTCCCGCCCCTTCGAATCCCAGCGTCCAATCCCCTCCCTCCGTTCGATTCCCAGCCCACAGACTCCTACCCGCCTGATTCTCCACCATTGGGCCTCCCCCGTTCTACGCAGCACTTCTCCTCCGAACCCCAGTTTCTTCGGCTCTCCTGTCCACTCTTTGTCTCTTTTCTTTCTCTTCGAGGAAGGAAGCTCAGCTTGGAACTCATAGCCCACGCGCGTGGGAACCAGAGTGAATCTCAGCCCTACCACCCAGGAGAGGGGGGAGGACTGCTTTGGGGTCAGGTCGGCCCACCAAGACCACCCACGGAAGATGCAGCTGCAGGGATTAAGTTGGCGTGGAGGTGCTACAGCAGATTGGATTCAAGTTAGCCAGAGGGACTTCCGTGAGGAGAAAAGTGCGTGGGTAAAGGTGAGGGGCTCAGGGACCGAGCTCAGATTGGGAGGCCAGAATGGGCACAGACAAGCAGAGACTGAAACATGGAACTCTCGTTTTATTCAGCTCTGGACGTTAATATTCTTTGTCCATGCTGGGTCCGGTGTGCACGTGGTCCAGCCCAGTCGCTGCCTGGGGAGAGCCCAGGAGGTAGAGTTAGGGGAAAAGAAACTTGGGGTCACGGCCCCGATACACAGATGGGTAGACTGAAGCCAGGGGCCGAGCAGAGATGTGCCCAACATCACCCAGAAAACTGGGCACTGCGCTGGCCTCCTTGCCTCAGGCTGGGGTCCTGGAGACGCAGCAGGAGTCTGGCCGCGCGCCGCCGGCGGCGCCCATAGCTGTGGGGATCCTGAGGCTTGCGGCCCGCCTTCCCTGAGAGCTCCTTGGTGGAGGCAGAGCGGAGCCAGTATATGATCTCTGGCAGGCGGTGCGTCTGGCACGTGCCCAGTGAACAGAGGTGCCTGTGCTGCTGGGAGACCTGGTGCTGGGGCCGCCTGGGGATGGAGCGTGAGAGAAAAGCGGGTTCAAACAATCCACTAGAGAAATGGAGCCCTGTGGGCGACCCAGAACTCCGAGATTGGCGGGCGCGTTTCCTGATCAACTTCCCATTCCACCGAAGCGGAAAACCGCCTAGAGAGGTCACACGCCCCTCGCGGTCTCCCTCCGGCTCTGTCCCCGCTGACACCGGCGTTTCTCACCTGCCCGCGGAGTCCGGGTCCCCCAGGGTGGAGGAGGCGAGGAGCAACAGCAGGAGGATGTGGGCGGTCATCGTGGGGGTGGGGCGGGCGGGGTCCGAGAAACCGGTGGGTGAAGCGGCTCCTCTGGGCTGCGGCCCCACCCCCTTCCCGGGCCTGGAAAATACCCCCTGAGCGCCTGCTTCAGTGCGAGGAATCCGGGCGTCCCCACTTCTCAGGCCGAGAAAACGGAGGCCGAGAGCCACACCACGCCAGAAGGGCAGGATTAGGATCCGGACACCCACCTCCCGCACCGCGGCCACTGAGCCCTCACGGGTCCCGCCGAGGTGCTATCTACGCCCCTGGGTGTCCTCGGGAGACGCGACCCCTTTAAGGCGGAGAGGAGGGGCGGGGCAGCTGACACCTGCAAGTGACGTCGCAGCTTCTGGCTTCCAGGAAAGGGGTGGGGGCGGGGAAGCGCTAGGCTACTTAGATGCGAACTCACCCACATCTCTGTCAGGGACCCGACTAGCGTTAAGTCTCAGGGGACAGGCGACTTCCAGCGAGGGGGCTGGGCAACGTGGGACACTGGCAATTGGGACAGGTGGCAAAGACAGCCACCAGAAGTTGAAGAGTCTGAGCCCTAACGCCCTCCTGGTAGAAGAGGAGTAGGCGTAGACGGGTGTGGGGTGCAGGCAGGCCCAGATCTCCAGCTGTACTGAAGCAGGTGTAGGAGGGCCATGGAAAGAAAAGCCTGGGATTCCGTCTCCGGTGATCCAGGTAGTGTGGACGCAGACCTGGGGGACCAGCGACTGGAGAAGGGAAGGGCAGGCACGTGTAGACACCATGACGGCAGCAGGGGCTGAAGAGACAGCCCCTGGGGAGTTGTGAAGCAGGGTAATGGAGCCTCAGTGTGCATCTCCGTAAAGTGTGGCAAAGGGTGGGAACCACCCCCCCCCTCCCCCGCTCCGAGCCAGGATCCGAGCCAGGATCGGGGAGGAAGCAGGCACCCACCCCCACAAAGAACTCTATCCCCGGACTTCCCTGGTGCAGTGGTTAAGAATCGGCCTGCCAATGCAGGGGACACAGGTTCGAGCCCTGGTCCCCTGGTCTGCGAAGATCCCACATGCAGTGGAGCAACTAAGCCCGTGCGCCAGAACTACTGAGCCTGCGCTCTAGAGCCCACGAGCCACAACTACTGAGCCCGTGTGCCACAACTACTGAAGCCGCGTGCCTAGAGCCTGTGCTCCGCAACAAGAGAAGCCACCACAAAGAGAAGCCCGCGCACCACAACGAAGAGTAACCCCCACTCAGCACAACTAGAGAAAGCCTGCGCTCAGCAACAAAGACCCAACGCAGCCAAAAATAAATAAATAAAAGAACTCTATCCCCCTCCAACACCCCCCCCCCGACTCAGTTTCCCCAGATGGAGAGGGCAGGGCAGTAGTCACTGCCAGTCAGCCCTGGTTTGGCCTTGGAGGGTCCTGGACAGGAAAAAACAGCCAGAGAGGAACAATGTGTGTGATGGGAGAAGGCGGGAGAGAGAGCTTTCTGGGGAACTTAAGGGCCCAGCTGTGCCGGGAACCCACACCCCAGCCCTCCCCCAGCCCAGCAGGGCAGCTGGGAGCAGAAGTCTGGCCCACTGGGGACAAGAGGGACCAGGGCCTCAGGAGGCCCGAGAGAGAGGGAGGTCGCGGGCACAGACCCCGAGAGCCAGTGGAGAAGGCCCTGCGAGTGACCTGAGGGCAAAGGTGGCCCAAAGAGTTGAGAGCAGGGCTGTGGAACCCCAGAGATGGCGGGGGTGGGGTGGAGGTGTAGTAAGACCCAGAGACACAGAAGTGGTGAGAGAGACCGGCAGCCACCAGCAGGCGCTGTCCCCACGCTCCGGGTGCCTGGCATCTCAGCACCTAAGGACAGAACCCCAACCCCACTTCGCCCCCAGGAAGCTGAGCCGTCCCAGCTGAGGATTTATTGGCGTAAATGCAACCATATAAAAACATAAGTTATGAAAAACACAGTCACGATGTGCCCGCACCCCACCCCCGCCCCTGGCCCCAGAAACCCCCTTCTGTGGGAGGGAGAGGAAGGGGGAGCCCCGAAACTGCCTAAGAACGCTGCAGCCCCTGGGCCCTTGCAGGGCCGGCCCGGCCGGGTTGGGAGAACCCGGATGCTGCCTCAGCGCATCCGGTAGTCGGTGGAACAGGACAGCTCGCACAGCTGGCCTTTGAAGTCCAGATCAATGGTGAAGTCCAGGTCGCGCTGTGGGGAGAGTGCGGGCGTGAGGGGGAACCTGAGACAGGGCAGGCCGAGACAGAGGGCAGCGGGGGTGTGGTAGGGAGGGGTGGCCACCCCAGCCCACCTGAGGTGCCGTGGGCCCCCCGGCCGTCTACACACCCTCCCCAGAGACCCCACACTGCCGGTCCCACTCCCAGCATCTGTCTTGAACCCCGCCTGACTCCCCGTGAGAAGCTCCACGTGACATCCTCAAACCCACCTAGAACCCAGCCATGCCCCCCGCCTTGGGTGGGGTGGCAGAGCTCAGCTGCTGTCTCTTGCATCATGATTTCCCCCATCAAAACCAGCCCCATCAGCAGGTTATTTTCTCCTTCTTTTACAAGAAGCAAACTTCCTCCTCTCAAAAAGCTCTGTGGTCCTGCCCCACCGCCCCCACTTCCCCTCCTCCAAGGCTTCCTGGAAGCCAATGCTCTTGTGCCCGCCACCCCCAGCACACGGGGGCAGTCACCAATGACCTCAACGGCTTCTGCCCTCAGTCCTCACTGCACTTCACCCCTGGCTCCCAGCTTCCTCCTCCCTCTCTGGGTCTCTTTCAGTTTCTAGTTTGGGTTTTCTCCACCTCTGCACTACTGACATCTAGGGCTGGACCACTCCTCGCTGTGGGGGGATTATCTTGTGCGCTGCAGATAGAGCAGCTCCCCCGCCTCTACCCACTAGATGCCAGCAGTACCCCTTCTTCAGTTGACACCCAAAATGCCTCCAGACAATGACATGGGTAGGTGGGGCAAAATCATCCCTGGTCGAGAATAGCTGCTTAAACCGGTTCTCGTATCCGGCTAGACTTAGAAAGCGGGCACACCCACACTGGCCCTGCAGAAGCTCCTGACTTTGCCCTAGACCTGCTTCCCCACCGTGTCTCAGGCTGATGGCAGCTCCGTCCTGCCAGGTATTCAGGAGAAAAAAACAGGGGAAGAGACGGCCCTCCTTTCCTTCCCTCACCCCCATACATGGGCGAGGATATCCTGTCAGCTCTCCCTCTGGCCCCGCCCCCACCTGCTCCAATACCTGCCGGCCCCTGTCACCTCCCGCTGGCATTTACCACGTGACTGTCCTGTGTCTAGAACATGAGTCCCAGGAGGGCAGGGGTTCAGCCTGATCACCGCTGGGGCCCCAGGGCCCCCTGGTTTCTAGTAGGTACTCAATAAAACTGTGGTCCATAGACAGACCTGGGGGGCCCCCAGACAGATAGGCCAGAGCAGAGTGTAGCCAGGCCGGCTGGCAGGCTTGGGGCTGAGGGGTGCTGGGGCCCCAAAACACCTGAGTCTACCCCCACCAGAGCCTCACGTTGTTCTTGGCATTGGGCCGCATGCCAATGGTGCCAAAGATCTCCTCGCCCGTCTTCACCGTCAGGTAGTCCTCCATGTAGAACACCGTCTGCTTCCAGTGCGTGTATGGGGACTCGGGGCCTGGCGGGGGAGGCGGGTCAGCCGGGCTCACCCGCCTCCTAACCTTCCCAGCCCACACCTTCCCCTCTGCCTGGACACCCCACCTGCCAGTGACTACCGATTAAGCGGTGACTGTGGCCCCTCCACCCTCGTCAAGCCTGGGAGGGGCTGTTTCACGGGCGGGGAAGCGGAGGCACCGCACGCTCAGGTTGGCTGGCAGAGCCAGCGTCAGAACCCGGGTCCTCGGTGTCCCCGTGGCTCCCTCTGGCCACTCCTGTCACATGCCCCACGGTCCCTGGGCCCCCGCCGCCCCAGGGCCCCGCCTCACTGGTGGAGAAACCGGTCCTCTTGTGGCAGCGGGTGAACTCGATATTGAAGTAGGCCACCAGCGCATGCACGTAGTCGTTCCGCTTCACTTGCAGGCAGAAGGGGGAGGTGAAGGTCAGGTCTTCCACCTTGACAGTGTAGATGTCCACCTCCTGCGGGATGAGCCTTGTGAGCCCCACTCCCCGATCTCCAGCCCAGCGGGGAAACCTGCGGGTGCCCCGCCGAATGCCCTGTTCCCTGCTCTCCCAACTCCAGCCCCGAATCTGACAGTTCGACCTCCTACAACAACTACTGTTCCTTAGAGAATCGCCCATTTTCCCCTCTCCACTGCCTGTACCCTGACCCTGGCCACCATCCCCCCCTCCGATGCAGCAGCATCTTAACAGGGTTCCGTGGCTCCCGCTCTCTCCCCCCACATCCCTTACTCCACGTTATCAGCCAGGCGATAGTTTAAAAACAGATCATGTCACATCCCTGCTTAAAATCCTTTGACTGCTCCCCGGTGCACTCAAAGCAAAACCTTGACTCCTGACTCAGGCCACGGAGGCTCGCCCAGTCAGGGCGTCTGCCCTGCCATCTCCTCTGCAAACTCCCTCCTCCACCCAGTTTCGCCTGCCACGAGCATCCCAGCATGTGATACTGCGGGTCGAGAGGGGGAACCTCAAAAAATGATGGCGCTGGGCTTTCTGCATTTGGTGGCCCTGCCTGGGGTCTTAGCTGCCTGCCTTGGGCGGACGTGCCCTCCGGGGAGGTATGCCTTGAGGGCAGGGCCAGCCTACTCACTGCCTTGTTCTGGAACCCAAGGGCCATGCCTGGCTCACAAAGCTCTTTAAATGAAGTGGCTTCTCTGGGCGTCTTATCGCCACCTCCAGCAGATCGGTCAGGCTCTCAAGACCTCGGGCAAGCAAGCACTCTGTGCACTGAGGTCCCACGCACTGGCCCTTCTTGGGTTGACCCTGCGGGACACCCAGCCACCCCACCCCCTCACCTTTATCAGGCAAGCGTTGGTGACCAGCTGCTTGGGGTCCACCACATCCACCAGGGGCTCCTTGATGGCCACGTCTTTGATGCAAGACATGTCAAAGCCG